TTTTTTTTTTTATGTTTTTGAAAAATGGTTGATCAGGTAAATATCTAAAAACATTTTGATGAAGGAAGTCCAAGTAAAACTGTGCTCACAAATATATTACCTTAAAATTACATTTCAGAGTGAATGACTGGATGGTGAAAAGAGCAGTTTGGTGATGTCATTTTAGGGATGGAGCAAGTTGCTATTTTTCGAAAAACAAGCAAAACTTTTTTTTTAAACTTTGTAGTACAGTAACTTTCACTAAATTGCTCACAATAATTAAATACCAAGCTGGTTTTGATTTCATGTTGACTTTAAGGTAACCTCTTAAGTTGAACACCTACTCAAATGTGTGAAACAGATGGTCAAAAACAGAAATAAACATTAACAGGGCATTCATGCAAACTGACATGAAGTTACAGTAAGTCAGATTGATGGATGAGAGAGACTCCGTAGCTATAAGAGTATTCAATGGCATAACATCAAATGCTTTTGTGTACAAACTATTGCAGCACACACTGCATTTACTGAATTTGGATACACTCAGGATCACAGAGCTGCTGAAAGGACCAGGAGACCTCATAAATTAGATTATACACAATGACTATTATAATGCACAGCTATATTATCCTGTCACCACTATGATGCAACACAGAGTCACATTAACATTCTCAATATAGGAAAGCAGCGCACAGACAAAAATCTCAGAGGACTTAACTAAAGGTTGGCAAATCAACACACTCTCAGGGTTACTGATTCAGCACTTTTGTGAAAACTCTCACAATTTACATTCACCACTTAATTCTACACATGAATGCCAAAAAGTCCATTGAGTGGGATTTGTTTTGCTTTCCCCTGTAAATTTTCCATAAGCCACTCTGCTCCATTTCATTCTGCTGGTAAGATTTAGCACTGAGTGTTGTTGGGAGTAAATGTGTAAAGTCGAGTAATAGAAACACAAATGATGTTCAACTGAAATGGATTGTTCAATTAAAAGAACCAGCAAAGCATTGAACTATCTCTTACGTAAGATAATAAGTCCATGAGACTTATGTGCATGTTCTCAGAAACTGGTTCTAAATTCTTGTATTTAAATAATAATGAGGGTGAAACCTGCACACTGTACTGTGTAAAATACAGTCTAAAGTTAAACACTACATGTGTTGTTGAGTGCCTTGGATAGATTGCTTTTGCTTTTTTCATTCATTATTCTCAAATCACTTTGAGGGAAAAAAAATCAAAATGTAAATATAAATGAAAAATAATTTAATGGAAAACCTGGAATATTGGAATTTAGTGGAAACCCTGAAATAATGGAAAACGCATCCAACAAACAATATGAGACATAAACAATTATTCAAGTGTTTTCTGAATGTCATATTTTAAAACTAAAATACAAGACAAAACAATTGCAGTACACATCCTTCGAAACTGCCTAAAAATCATTTTCATCCATCACATTTTATTGACAACAATCCTATATAAAAAAATCAAGATTCTTAATACCTCAATCTCATGAGGTGTATAGAAAATGTCAGTTTCGGCTCACCCAGGTATTCTTAGCAAACGAAGAGTGATAGCAGTTTTGTAGTTTTGCCATTTTTCATGGCTTAACACATCATACCTGTCACGATATCGCCATCAGTTATCTAAGATGGACAGGCTCACCATGTTTGGCCCTTAAATGTAGCAGAACAGAGTGAGAGCCAAACACGTCCTGCTCTGTGATTAGGGGATATATTTACCCTGCAGTTTGATTAATCTGTTCCTCTGCACCTGCTGATGGTACACTAAACTCCACACACACACAAACATCATAAGCACTGGGATCGATATGGCTTTAGAAGTCACACTGAACTGGAGATGATGGAATTCTGCTCTAAGCCCTGAGAATCGCAATGCCAAAGTACAAAGGATACATTTTTCTAAACTAGTCTTATGGTATTCCTTTTGAAGTTGCTTAGCTAGATGGGTCAGATATTGTCAAATATTTTCTCATTGTTTCCAAAGGCTGTAATATTCAGTTAATTTATGCTTTTTTTTTTTTCGTTTCAATTTTATTTGTTCCAGTTTTTTTTGTTTTTTTTTAAGACCAGAGCTGTCACTGACCAATCACAACATTCATTCTGAACCACCAACAAAAATCATTCCCTCGAGGAACCATGGTTACATACGTAACCTGAGACGATCCTCTTCAGGAACTCGAGCTGCGTCAGAAAACGCTACTGGAACGAGAATGCCCACGCCGCCAGACTTCCAAATCTCTGCCTAGTGTGGACCTCTCTTCCCCAGAAGGGCCTGCCCTCGCTAGTCCTGCACCCAGGCCTGAAGGACGGTCCGCAGATCCGGCTTAGGCTTCAAAGCCCCCAACCCAGAGTGCTGCTTCTGCTTCCGGTCCCGACGCCGGGGAGCACAGGCGGCAACGCTCTGCTTTTGAGTCTCCCTATGTGAGGAGCTGGTACGCGGTGGGGACTGCTCCCGCTGAGCAGCCCCCAGAGCTGAGATGCGGCGAGGGAGGAACCGCTGAAATGCCGCCGCTTGTTTACGAGCCTCTTGGTCCCTGTCGACGACGGAATTGACAGCGTCGCCGAACAGGCCAGAAAGGCGCAAGCGGGGCGTCGAGGAGGAAGATCCTATCTTTGTCCTTCATATCAGACAGGGTCAACCACAGATGCCTCTCTGCTGTCACCATAGCTGCCATGGACCGCCCAATGGCGCGGGCGGTCTCTTTGGTGGCACGGAGAGAGAGATCAGCGGTTCT